CTTCAACTAACAAAATTATATCCGGATGGGGACTTTTCTTATAGGATTTTAATATCTGGTAGGAAATCATGGTAGCAAGTTGTTTGTAGAATTTGGGTAGCGATATCCTTGCACCCTTCAAGCCATCCTTCTCAGGCCACTCCCTATGAGCATTGAGAGGCAGGCTGCCCTGCATCTCTTGATGTAGTTCAGCGATGCTTCCTGTTGTGGTAATTCCAGAGGACAGAGGAACTCTCCCGGAGGGACACCGGTACAATTTAGAAGACAGTTCACCGCCCGCAGCTTTTAGGGCGTCTCAGTAACGGCCCTGGCCTCCGTGTGAACTTCCCCAGGCCTGTCACTTTCTGACACTGTTTCCGTTTATGTTTTGAAAATCAGTTTTCAGTAGAACTTGACTCCTTAAACGTTGGAAAGCCTAGTCGGTGATGGCGAATCTTTTCGAGACTGCAACTCAAAACCCACTTACTTATCAAAAAGTGCCAACTCTGCTATTAAACTTGAATACTGAGATTTTAGCATGGGAAAAAAAACCTCATACATTAGCATCTTTTGTCTTAAAAGAAAAACAACATGCACGCCGTCGGTTTGCCACCATTGGCCTCGGTTATTTGGGGAACAATGGGGGGGGCTGCACCACATTATTAAAAGGCAGCGACTAATGATGAAATGCGTGTGAATTGATGTTTAATTAGGTCTTCATATATACGTGTTAAACTTCTTTATGTATGAAGAGTTTATAGTTCAGATAATTGTTAAGATCTTCAGCAAAAACAAATAGCTTAAGTATAGTAATAACATATAAGATGAAAGTTTCAGTCCTGACATTTCCTTTGGTCTCTGCTTAATTCAAGCATTTAAAGCGCGCGCTTGTGTGTGTGTGTGTGTGTGTGTGTGTGTGTGTCCTTCCCTCCTGGTGTTGGGAGAAAAAAAAAATCCGTGAATAGGAATTCTGTTATTTGTCACTAACGTGTCGTGCCCCGACCCCCACTTCTCTTAGTGTTTCCTTCAGTCTCCGATTTTCCGGTTGCTTGCTCAACCCGGGAAAATTCAAAAGGAAGTGACCCCGCCTTCTCATTAATATTTAACACTAAGGGGCTGGAAGGAAGCATCAGAAAAACCCTCTCAAGAAATTCAACCTGGGTCTGCCCGCCCCACACGGCCGCCGCCCCCGCCCTGCGCGCTTTCCTCTACAGCACAATAGCCCGGCGGAGCCGCGGAGCTTGCACAGCCCGAACAGCCCTCTGGAGCCAAACTGAACTCCAGCCCGCAAGGCAGCCTCCGGGCGGATGGACAGTCCCGGGCCCCCAGTGGTGAACACGGCGGTCAGGGGCTCAGGGCGGTGTGGGCGCGCACCAGGGATCGCGTTTCTGCCCTTCTGCAGCTGCGTGACTGTCCCCGCACCTGGAGCCCTGCGCGAGGTGGTTTGCACCCTCCAAAGACCCTTGCTAGTGTGGGAGGGATGCTGAGGAAGGTAAGTGGTGCTTCTGTGCAGATGGTCGTCCCTCCGCACTTTTGGAGAAGGGGAAAGCAGCATGTGACTATAGTCTTGTGTCCCGCAGCATTTTTTCTGAAAGGATCATGACACCGAGTCGAGGTTCGACGGCTCTGAGTAAGATACCTGAAGAGCACCAGGTGCCGTGGAGGTTTGAAAAATTGCCGCCGCCCCAGCAGGTGCAGGGGCGGCGCGGAGCGTCGAGGTGACCTGGAGCACAAAGCCCGCGCGCAGTGTTGCCCTGGCAGCGGGGGGCGGAGCCGAGTCGTGGCGTGCCCTGGTTGCCTGGCAACGGAGGGGCTGGTGGGAGCGCGAGACAGCTGGGAAACTGGCTTCTACCGCAGCAAACAGGTCTGAGGTTTCATTAGACGCTGGTCTCTAGCGAGTCAACTCACAGTCTGCGGGGGCCACTTATCCCGTAGCCGGCAATCAGGTGTCTGGAATACTACCTACTTAACACCGTAATACTGTACATTTGACAGTACTTGGATGTGGTCTGTTGGGAAACATGAAAAAGTTAAAAGCCAATCGTTTCTAAAGTTTTTAAAAGGTATTTTGTGTCCTCGTTTTCAAGGTAGCATCTCCTGACCCTGTTTTATTATTTTAAAAAAGTCAAATATCAAGTACATAATCCAGGTTCCATCCATGAAAACAAATTGGCCTTTGGCTTTTCCAAAATCTATGCAGAAAATCACATACAACAGGCAGCACTGTTATGTTTTAGATAAAACTTTCAGTGTCGGAGAGAACTTCATTTTATTTTGCTGGGAATTTTCTTCCATGTAAATATGCCAGATAATATTGGCTTACTTTCTCAGATTGTTTTAGCCATACACTACAGGAAAAAAAAAAATGCAAGGAGTCGAATTACTGTGTCTTTTCCAGAGCAGTGATTGGCAGCTGCTTTTTCCCCTCTTTTTCTTGTTTTCCTCCTGTAACTATAGCTAATTTTTTGTTTTTTTCAAAGTTTAGTCATGTTTGCCAGAGACAGTAATATGTTATCAATTCTTAAGGTGTTTTCCTTCACAGTTTTTGATTTTTTTTCTGCCTCTATTTTTTACCAGTTTCTGTGTTGCTATTCATGTGTTCGTATAGTTATCTGTCAAACATTCATTCATTCATTCATTTCAGCTGTGTATAGGGTCGGACTTGAGAGGAGTAAGTGGTGAGAGGGACATAGAAAGTTGAATTAGGGGGCCAGGGATTTAGCTCAGTGGTTCGGGTGCCTGCCTCAAAACGACCCGAGTTCAATCCCTGGTACCAAAAAAAAAAAAAAAAAAAAAAAAGAAAAGAAAGTTGAATTAGAAAAATTCACAGTTTAAGGGGAGGGAAAGGCTGGGAAACAGTTACATTATAATGCACAGACCATTCTTGGTTAGAGATGTCAGTGGATTGGCTCCTGCTCTTGGCTTGGGGAGGTGTATTGATGGTGATGGGTGTTGCCAAGGTACGCATCATTTAAAACAGAGGAAAGTGACACCCAGAGAATTGTACTTGTCTCAGATCTTAGTAAGTGGCAACATTGGGATCTAAATCTAGACATCACTGTTGGGCTGGGGGCAAAGTGCTGAGTACCTGCCTTGTATGTGTGAGGCCCTGAGTTCAACCCCAAGCACCATGAGAAACAAAACAACCCTAACCAGATGTCACTGCTGTGATGTGTGCTGCTGACGCAGTAAGCCTTTTGATCCACATGACTCCACTAACTATATATATAAAAAAAAGACAGGGTCTCACTAAGTAGTTGAGACTGACCTGGAACTCACCATGTAGCCCAGGCTGGCCTTGAACTCACAGCGATCCTCTTGCCTTAACCTCCCAAGTGCTGGGATTGCAGGCGTGTGCTACCATGCCCGGCTAAAAGGACTATATTTTGATCACTCTTACTAGGGAGTGCCAATTTCTAAAATTAAAACAAATGGTGCAGTTGTCCTTTTCTAATTGAAATGTTTCTGAAGTCAGATATTTCTAAAATGAGATATTGATTGCGCTTCTAAAGAATGTAAGTTTTTCCTATGTCAATATTCTTTTTTGTTCCTAGAGTTTCCTGAGAAGTTAATGAGAAAATTAAAATGTCATCTTTCAAATTTTGTCTTAAGAATATTTGGAGGTATTTGTGTTTTCTAGTATTTTATTTAGAAAGTACTACAGCATTTAATTTGTTTAAAACAAATCTACCTAATTACCATTCAGTTTATTAACTTTCTTGGTTTTTAGTCAGATTTGTTAATTTGCACTTGCAGTGACTTTGGTGACTTGAGGATGGAAATTGCTCTTTGGGTTTTATTGTTGTTGCTGGGGATCAAACCAAGGACCTCACACAGTCGAGGCAGGTGCTCTACCACTGAGCTACCCTCAAAGTCCACAAATTGCTGCCTGGCAAGTTGTCCTATAAAGTTCAAGTGTGTACCTGGACTGACCTACACTGACATATGGTAACATCTACCCATCCAGCCTGAAAAATTTCTTTAAACTAATTATTTAAGTGATTGCACTGTGGAAATGTGAGGTTTTCAAATAGAGTGCAAGATCCCTGAAGGCAAGGCTTTTCCTGTGTTTAGAATTGTCTTCTTGATACTAAGCACAATACCCTTCATAAACATTAACTGGGAGGAGAACCAAAAGTAGCCATTACCAGACCAGTGAAACCTAGAGTAGAAGTAAACCTGTAGTACATGTTATTAACAGCCACAGACATTTCCTGTATTTGTTGATTGGCTTTTGTGTTTCACAGTATCATACTACAAAATGCTAGGTTTTGCTTTTTTTTTTAATATGTGAGAAATGGCAGCTGAGTAAAACTGAGAGACTTGGTCAGGGTCACCAGAAAGAGAGGCACATCTGATGATGTCAAATGGCTTATCATCAGACTATGCAGACCAGATGAGCTTCAACAGACTGGGCCTGTTTCTCACTAAACCTGAGGGACTAGGGTGCCAGGTGGCTTCCCTTTCTCTCCCTTTCCAAAGACTCCACCTCTTCCTTTCTTTTTTAAAAATTAATTTTATTGGTACATTTTAGGTATATGGTATAATGACATTCATCATTGGAAATTTATACTTTTACGTAATGCATCTTGGCTCTCATTTTTCCCCATTCCCCTACCCTCCCTTCAACCCTCCACCCCTCCCTATTTACAAAGACTTTGTTTCCATTTTTTTTTCATTTTCTCATATTAATTCCATACTTTCTGAGAAGAAAGTGAGGAAAACCCTTTTGAAAGGCAAGTCATGAAAGAAGCAGGGCAGAGGAAAGGGAGGGTTGGAGCAAAAAAATGTGAGAGGAAAAGGAGCAAGGAAGCTGATTACAGAAGGAATTGATGATGAAAAATGAGAATGAAGGCAAAAGGAACCATGTAAGGTATCCAGAGTAATTTTGGCTTACTCGTCAACCTCAGCTGCTGTAATAAAGTACCACACCAACCAGGGAACTTCACCAACAGGCAGATATTGTTGCACAGCCCCGGGTTTGGGGAGTTCAAGGTTAAGATGTTGTCAGTGTTGGCTCCTTCTGTGGTCTCTCTCCTTGGCTCACAATGGCTACTTTCTCCCCGTGTCTTTACATGATCATTCCTGTGTCTGTATTGTCTGCATACTAGTATCTTCTTCTTATAAGGACAACAGTGCTATTGAATTAGAGCCCACCTGTCATAGTTGCTCTTCTCTTGCTGTGACAAAATACCCAATATCCAAAGTTAAATGGGGAAAGGCTTATTTGGCTTATAGTTCATAAAGATTTATGTCCATAATCAGCTGGCTCCAAGGCAGGGTGGCAGAGAGGCAACAGTTCATCGAGGTGAAAGACAGCAAAAGCAACAAAAGAATCTTAAGAGCATCTTCCTGCCCACCCCTTACTATCTTATCTAGACTACTGGGATTAGGGAGGTAACAAGCTAATCAGTGCACTGGTTTAGTAATTCCACACCCCTAATCTCAGCATCACACACACTAGATTCAGTCACCTCTGAAAAAGTCCTACACCTATGACCACGTGAGACTTTGGGGGGACATCTAGACCCAAAGCATAACATCACTCTATTGACTTGATTTTACTTTAATTACCCTGACTCTAAATACAACTACATTCCAAGGTCCTGGAGGTTGGAATTCCATGTATAAATGTAAAAAATAAGGAAGTGATACCATCCCATCACTTTGAAGACACTTGTTATTTCCTTTGGATTCTCTCCTAGCACAAATAAATAGCTGAGCAAATTGCCACCATTTAAAAATATTGGTGTATTCCACTGGATGTCTTTGTTTAAAAAAAAAAGACATCCAGAAGTGAGTTTTATATTTAGCCTCCTTTGTACTTTATGTTCACTCTCACCTCTACAGGACAGCTTCAAACATTGCAAATTATAAAGAATTGTAGATGAAGTTGATGACAATTTCATTTTCATCTCAGTATGACCCATCTCTGTCTTTCTTGAGCTGGTGATTCTGGCTTGCAGCATCAGTCTGATAAGAATGAAACAAAAATCTCACATGGACATTGAAACACAGAGTATAAAGCTTCATTGCCATGGAGATAAACTAGAGCAAACCTCTACTAGAGACCACCTTCTACACACATCCCCAATGAGGTGTGTTGATATAGTCTTTCAGACTGTTTATGAAAGGCAGCTGGAAGAATCTAAAAGTTTTCTCTGAGGCACTGAAGAACTAACCATGTTATAATCAGAATGTCTTGTGAAGTCATTAAAATATGTGGTTATGAAATGGCGGGATTTAGTGAGAAGCCTGCGTGTCTTGTATCCAGTGCTTTGCCCTTCTCCGAACTGCACAGAAACTATTTTTTAAGAAGAATAAGGACTAGACTTCAATATGGCCAAAGACGGTTTCAGAGTTTTCTGTAATAAGAGTTTGACCATCCGTCACTCATGGGAGTCTCAAAATATAGGTATGTTTTTCTCCTTAGCTTCATTCATCACTTCATACTCTGCTTTCAGAAAATATGGGGTGTACTTGTCTATCACAATCGTCTTCATTTAATACCTTGTCATTCGCAAAATGCCTTTTAATAAGTTACTCCTTGCCCTTTTTTGCAAGTAGAATAAAAGCTATGTCTGTTGTTCTTGGAATTTGTTTCTACTACAGTCCCTCAAGACTGCCCTTTGCGTCTTGAATTGTGCAGTTGTGATTTATGTCTTCATTGCAGTTCTCCAAGTTGTTCCTCTTTGAGAATCCTTCAATTTACTTCTAAGTGAGAGACCCCAAACTATTCTGGAACATTTCTGCTGAAGAATATTGGAGTCACATGCTTGATGGGATTTTTTTCAAGGCATACCAAAAGCTTTCAAAATGTGTTCTTTGGACACAATCCAATAGTTTCCTTTAATGGGTGGCTTCAGAAACAGTTCTTGTGTGGAATTGCTATTGTTAATCCAGCCAAAAGAGAAGGCCTATTTCTCAGAGCAATGAATACTTAATTAGTATGGGATCAGTGCCAATACCTGAAGTTTGAAAAGTCAGTGTTGAATGTTGGCACAGACCCTGAAAGGCAGAATCATATGTTTCTCCTACTTTGAGCCAGACATTTGCCAAGCTGGTCAGTTGTGCAAAGCATCTGGCACCTTTTCAGGAGTAGGTCAATCTATGCAAGTGCATTTCTAAAGCACCTCATAATTAAATGATCACCTCAAATGAAGGAACAGAAGGGTGATCAAAGAGTAAGCCATCCCTTGCTGTTGATAACTTCCTCATATTTTGGCAGAGTGACATACCTGCTCTTCTTTCCCCTGTGCTGCTGAAGAAGGTAATGATGTTGAGTTGGCTTAGACATTAACAAACACTCAACAAGTATTTATCAGTCATTATTATATACTCTGTGCTGGCAGAGGCACCACATGATGGGTCATGGACTTTCTCCTCAAGTAATTTATGACCTGGTTCATGGTAGAGACATGAACCAAGACAGCACACTGAGAGGCTGGTTCACGTGCACATTCTAGATAATAAGCACAAACTGCCAGGAAAAGTGGCTTATAGTGGGCTCCCCAGCTGAGAACTATCATATCTTTCTCAGGACTTTTTTCCAGATGCTACTCTCTTAAAATTTCCCTTCACCTAGTCTCCAAACCAGGCTATTTGGGGGGAAGTGCTGGAGATAGAACCCAGGGCTCCTTACCATCAGAGTCTGTTATTATTTATATCTATGTTCCCTAAAAGTCTCATGCACTCAGAGGTGGGACCTTTGGAAGGTAATTGGATTATTGGGCTTCATAGTTGACTGGATGTTAGAGGGTAGGGTGTGGTTGAAAGAAGCAGGTCAGTGGGAGTGTGGCTTGATGGAGTTTATCTTCCTCTCTGGACCCTCTCTTCAATCCCTGTTTCCTGTCCTCTGTGCTGTGAGCAGCTTCTCCACTGTATCTTTCTGCCATGCTGTCCTGTCTTGGAGCCAGCCAACCATGGACAATGGATGTGAGCCAAAATAAACCTTTTCTCCTTTAAATTGTGGGTGTCAGGTATTGTGTCCCAGCAAAGAAAAGAGTGACTACCATAGATTTTGGTATCAGAGAAGTGGAATCATTGCTGTTACTGTTACCTGACCATGTAGTTCAGAAACCTTTGAAAATGGTTGCAAGCTTGGAAATGTTCAGAGAAGCTGGCTGGAGAAGCAGTGTTGAAATGCTGTAAGCCAAGCTAGATGGGAGGTTAGGGTTAGAGCTCAGAACAGCAGAGTATTGATTAAAAGGCAGGTGGCAAAAACCAGTCTCGGGAGGTTTCATCTAGGAAGAAAGGCTCTGTTGGCAGTTAGACTCCAGGCCATGGAAACTAACAATAATTTGCTCATGTCCTGAGACTTTGCAGGAGACTGAGATTAAAGGTGGTAGACTAATCCAGAGGAGGAAATTTAAAGGTATCCAACAGTGGGGCTATGGCATGGATACTGTTGGTTACTTTTAGTGAGATCCACTGTGAGAAACAGCAACAAAAAAGCCATTTGAAAAGTTTTCAGTTTTGTCAGAAAAAGAGCACTTGAAAAGGTGGAGTAGAGGAGAGCGTGATTGCTGAAAACATTAGCATTTTTTAATAAGGCAAGCACTTTGCATCAGGACAATGGGAAAAATGACTCAAGGGCAAGCTAGGAATCAGCAAGACCCCTTCCTTTGTAGTCTTAAAGTTGCAAAAGTGAAATGTGTTGCTTTGAGAAGAAAGATCCAGGTTGCACTGCTCCCGAATGAGAACAAGAACAGCTGCCTAGGACATTACCTGGGATTAAGTTCACAGTGCTCAACCATTTATGCTCTGGAGGAGCCATGATGAAAAAAGGCCTGGCAACTCTTCAAGCTGGTAGCTCACCTAGACATCACCCATATAGCACTGGCTTCACAAGCAAGCATGCAGAATGCAAGAGCTGCAGTTTCAGGAAGGCTTCCATCAGATGTCACAAGAAGACCAGGGAGGACAGGCAATGTGCCCCTGAGAGAACTGTGTGTGAAGCTATGAGAGTGAAGCTAAAATTACCGTGGAGACCTTAGAAAGTTAGAGAAGGAACATAGAACGCCTGAGGAAAACCATAAGGAGTGAGCAAGCCAGTCCAAGAGCAAGGCCATGAGGGCTATATCCACGGATAATTCCACAGAGGCAGGGCTGTCCAAGCCATTTGGAGTTCACATCTTGCCACTGCCTGCTCTGGGCTAGACATGGAACTGTGGGATTTAATGTTTGCCCTACGAGGTTTTGGTCTTGCTTTGGTCCATGCCTTTCTATCCCTTTCTTTCTCCTTTTTGGAATGGGAATGTTTATCCTATGTCACTGTGTATCAGTGATATTTAACTTCTTTTTTATATTTGCAGGAGCTCACAGATAGGAGTTTGCCATCAGTATCAGAATAGATTTTGGATTTAAACGTTTCAGCCATGTTGGAATTGTTAAAATATAGGTGACACTTAAAGATGGACTAAATACATTTTTTATAAAGTGACATTGATGAGCCTTTGGGCAGCTAGGGGAAGAATGTTGTGGTTTATATCTAAATCTCCCCCCAAATCCTTATACACTTAGATGTGGGACTTTGAGAGGTGATTAGACTAGAGGGCTATATAGTAGCTGAATATTAAAAGGTGGAGTATGACAGGAAGAAGCAGGTGAGTAGTGGCATGACTCAGTAGTGGAATTCATCTCCTTGCCTGGCTCCTCCCTGAACTCTCTGCTTCCTGTCCGCCATGCTGTGAGCAGCCATTGCTCTACCATGCCCCTCTGCCATGCCATCCTGCCTTGAAGCCTACCTGACTTGAGTCTACCTCCCTGTTTCCTACCATCTCTCTTCTATTTTGCTCTTTAAATTGTTTATATTTTGGGTTTCTCATATATGAGAAACTATTCAATATTTATCCTTCAGTGTCTGTTTTATTTCATTTGGCATTATTGTCTCAAGATTCATACATTTTTAAACAAATAACTAAAGTTTATCCCTTTTTTGGCTTAGTAGTACTCATATACATCACATTTTCTTTATTCCTTCATCTGTTAAGGGTCATATAAGTTGCTTTCATAATTTACTTATTGTGGATTGTGCTGCTATAAACATGGGTAAGCATGTTTCACTATAATATGGCTTTAACTCTTTTGAGAAGATATGCATATATCTGAGAAGATATTCTCTCTTTGTGAAGATATCCTTTTGGGGCAAATGAAATTTCTATTTTTAGTTTCTTGAGAAATCTCCATAGTGATTTCCATGGTGATTTTATTAGTTTGCATTTATACCAACAATATAGAATGTTCATTTTTCACCACAATGTCATCAGCATTTATTGGTTTTTAAAATTCTTTATGATAACCATTCTTATTGGAGTAAGATGGAATCTCAGTATTATTTTGATTTGCATTTGTCTATTTATTGGCCATTTGGTCTCCTTTTAAGAACTGTCTGTTCCTTTCATATGCCCATTTTTGATTGGGCCTTTTATTTGGGGGAATCTGTTTTTCTGAGTGATTTATGTACAGTGGTACCTTGGTTCATGAACTTAATTCTTTCCATGATTCTGGTGGCAAATAGAATTGGTTGTGAACCAAATCAAATTCAATGGTTAGGTTCAATGTTGACCATAGGGTTAATTTGTTTCAGTAATGACCAGTTTAGTTTGCAACCAGAATCACATTCATAAACTGAGGTACTACTGTATTCTAAATATTAGTCCACTGTCTGAGGGTTAGCTGAAAAAAATTTTTCCCTTTGTGTAGGTTGTCTTTTCATTTTGTTATTTCCTTAGCTATGCAGAAAAATTTTAATTTGATATAATCTCATTTGATCCTTAGCATAATTTTTTTGTGTATAATTGGATTTCTGATCAGAAAGTCCTTATCTGTCCTTATATCTTCAAGAGTTTTATCTTACAATAGATTCAGTATTTCTGTTTTTATATTTAGGCCTTTGATCCATTTAAATTTGATTTTAGTACAGAGAGAGTTATGGGTCTAGATTTATTCTTGTACACATGGATAACCAGTTT